TCTTCCCCTTCTGCTCTCTGCTGTCCCCTTCCGCTGATGCTTCTGGCACCACACGACTCCCCCCCATACCCCGTGGTTCACTCGTTTGTGGTTCGTCCTTCCCCCCATACCCCGTGGTTCGTCTCCGGGCCCCTCCACCCACAGGGTGCTGGTGCCCGGGGGCGTCTTCCTCCTCATCACGCTGGGAGGTCCGGATCAGCGATTGAGCCTGGTAAACCGACCCGAGTACGACTGGACCGTACAGGTAGTTGGCTGTGTTTTGATGCAGGTGGTTGGAGGTGTATGTGTTTGGGGGCCGCGGTGAAGGACGGTGAGGTTGGCGAGGAAGTGAGATTGTAAGGGAGGAGGGGAGGGGGTAAGGAAGGGAGTAATTAACGACTGGAGGCCCCAAGAACAGGCGTCCCCCTATCCACCCCACTTGGAGAGTCGTTGCATGTATCAACCACTCCGTCCAACCGAACATAAATCAAACGACCGACGCCTAACCACCACCACAACTACCTGTCGCAAGTGTGTTTAATTCGCCGTGTTCCCGAGGACCAGTATGCGCCCTCGGCTCCCGGGAGGAGCATACCCCTCAACGACACATGCAAACCGCTATCGTACATAGGGCCCCTGGAGGTCCAGCCTGACGGCACCGTTGGTACGTGTACGGCAAGCAGGAAGCTGGCGGTTTTAGGGGGGGATTAATGGGGGAGAGAAAAAAGGAGCTGTGGCGATAACCACCTTGCCGTACGATCCAAGAGGACCAGTACGGCTAGAAAAGGGGGGGGGAAAAGAGGACGGCGCACTGCACCCTTAAATCCTGAAACCCCATCCGCACCCATTATCTCCCCAACCTCACCTCACCTCACCCCACCCTAACCCCACGCACGCACAGCCGGCCTCCCTGAGCCCTTCGACCCGTCGTCGTACTTTTACTCGTACGTGTGTCGACGCTCCCGCCTGGTGCTGCCGGCTGACAACGAGAGCGCCAAGTACGGCAAGGTCCGGCTGCCCGAGGGCTGGCGAGCCACTGTGAAGGCGGTGGCGGAGGTGGTGGGGGGGGAGCTCAGGCTGCCGCAGGTAGGCGGGTTGTGTGCGTGTGTGTATGTGTATGTGCGGCGGGCGGGGGAGGGGGGAAAGACGAACCACGAACGAGTGAAGCTGCTGCCAGGGCGAGATTGTACCAGACGTAGAACTGACCGAAAGGCGCTCTTGAAAGCGGCGACCTCGGGATGACGTAGTGAAGAAGATGTCGGAAAAAACTACCTACCTAGCCGCCAGGACTAAAATAGCGCGGAAGAAAAGCAGTAATGCCAAGCCATAAAAAAGGTGTAGAAAAGTAGGTGTAGAGGCAGCGGAGAAGTCGTAAAGAACTGCTGACGTGAAGCTGGAATAAAGTTTGCTGCTGGCCTGGCGGCGGCAGTGACGATGTTTGGCGAAGAACTGGCTGATTTGCTGGTAATAAAAAGCTGTCGGTATGCAAGTGCTCCTCCCAAACCCCCAAAAAACGCGCGACCGACCCGACCGACCCAACTATCCTAGTCCGGCTATCCGACCGACGCCAACGCGATGTACCGACAAAGCTCGAACCTCCTTCGGACTCACCAGCGACGTTTTTCGTGCTGGGGCGGGGGGAGATCCTGACGGGGAGGAGAAACAGCAGCAGGGGGCTGACGATAGCGCATCCAAAACACCAGCTACAAAAGTGTATGTGTGTGTATGTATGTGTCAATCTTGTGCTCTTGTGCTGTTCCTCTGTGGGCTGTGTTGCCTATTTGGGAGCTTGATGTGCCGCTGGAGGTCCTATATTCACGTTCGCTGCGGGCTCGGTACGATGCCCACAAGGGCTCTGTGCGCACGAGTGTGGGCACTAAGGGGGCACTAAGATTATTGCGATGTGCTGAACAGCTGCTTTGGTGTCGTAAATCCTGCTTTGCTCTGCCGTACCGTACCTTGCTGTGCTGTGCTTTGCAGGGTATCCTCAGTCGGGGCCGACGCGTCCGGACGACCTCTCGGTGGGTTGAATGACACCCCCCTGCCGCCCTGCAGCCACTGTACACACATGTATACATCAACACATATACATCAATACATATACATCACTACATATACATCGCTACATATTTACATCACTACATATACATCGCTACATATTTACATCACTACATACTGCTTTCTTGACACCAGGAAGCCACTGCCTGTCTACCTACCTACCTAACTACCTACCTACCTGTCCACCTACCTACCTACGTACACACGCACAGGGCGAGCTTTGAGCAGCTACAGCGGCAGCGGGAGGGACAGGAGCTGGAGCGAGGGCGCCTCACTCTCTCCAACCCGCTCCCCCTCGCCCAGCCCGCTAACCCCCCCGCGACCACCTCGAGGGCCGAGTGCTCCATATCCGAATCAAGGCAGCGGAGCAGCCAACACGTCGGAGGGGGCCACAGAAATCACCAGGACGGCGGCGGCGGCGGCGGTGGCGGCGGCGGTGGCGGCGGCGGCGGCCCCGGGCGGTTGGTTTCCGATGGGGATGGAGGAGTCAAAGGCGGTTGTGGCGAGTGGGGCTCGTTGGAGCTTGAAAGGGAGGGGGAGGCGTCCGGGCTGAGAGAAGAGGGGCAGGGGCCGGGCGGCGAGCAGCAGCAGCAGAGGCAGCGGGAGGAGGAGGAGGAGGGTGCGCGGCGGCAGTGGCGGCGGGCATTGGAGGACTCCTTGGCATGGGCGGCGGACAAATGGGCTGAGAAGCAGCCTGACGCCACCGGTGCCGCTGCCGCCCGCGTCACCGCTGCTGCAGGACAAGGTCGCTGCACGTACACCATCTCGTCGCCTTCGAGGCGCTCTTCGTCCCCCTCAGAGGTGTCGCGTGCTATATGTCAACAGGCTGGTGACGGGGAGGGCGGTGGTGACGTGGGGGATAACGGTGCTACTGCTGCAGCGGAGGTG